GCAGCAGCAATGTCAAATTCTCTTCTGGATTGTGTGGACATCCACTGGCATGGATACAACTCCAGGAACACGAACCGCCAAGGCCTGTTTTTCTTGATCCGAGCATGACTTTGGCTGGCAGCTCTTCTGGAGAATCCAATCTCATGGCTACAGTTCCTAGGCTTACATTAATGCTTGCCAAAGCTGGGCCTAGCACATTTTAAGCAAGGGTTCTATCACTTTTTCTATGGTTAAGAAAACATCTTTTCAAGCTATCTTTCAGGAATTCTTACAAAAGTCCTTACTATTTCAAGCCAGGGCCTTCAATTAAAAATAAAACAAAACTTCCTTTATCTTTTTGAGATTATAATATAATTACATCATTTCCCTTTCTCTTTCCTCCCTCCAAACTCTCCCATATACCCCCCCCCCTTGCTCTGTTTCAAATTCTTGGCCTCTCAAGGACACAATAATAGACATGCTAAAAGGTCTCAAACCTTCACAAAGAACTACAAACAAGTAAGCAGTACTGAGCTGGAGAAATAGTCTTTCTCAGGCAAACATATATCCAGACTGTTTTTATGGGAGACATTTTAGAAGTTCAAGGAATCTGGGAAATCCGTTCGGATTCCCTCAGAGGACTGGCCACACCCTTCCTCTCAGTTCTCAGTGGATCTTGGATTTTCCGTCCATGTTTCCATCCGGTCTGCCATGTCAGGCCCTCTCAACAGCCTTTGTGGTTTCCTCCTGGGTGTCCTTCCCTACAAGTATCCTCTTCTAAGGGCTTGTTTCCTATGGTTAAGGCCTCCAAAAGTTTTATCTCTCTCTCCTTCTCTCGGGCTCACTGGATTCCCAGGTTGGGGGTTCCCACATAAAACCCTCCAGCACCACGGGATTCCATTCTAATCTAATGTTGGTTGAACTGGACTTTTGTTTCAGAATGACGTCTATGTAGGCTTTACTCACTGATGCGTTTGTTTGCTTTTTAAAGTTTTTTACACAGTTTTTCAAAATCCTTGAAACGATCCCATTTGTCTGCACAAGAGAATGTCAGGTATACGTCGTTAATTTCATCGCCTCTCCCAAAGACGTGTGAATCACTTTGTCGTGTTTACTGGCATTTTCCATCCTGTTTGTCTGACATAATGCCACTAAGCATAGTTCGGCAAGCATATTGAGAAGAGCGTTGAAGGGACAAAAGCTAGGTAAGAGGTAATGACTGTGTTTGGAAGGTCTGCCACTTACTAGAGACACATTCAAGGTAAAATAACAGGAAACCCCTTGCCCTTCTGCAGGTCCAAAAGGAAGAGAACATATTTACCTGAGATGGATTGGAGGGGAGGAAAAGGGAAGCTTCATCTTTTTTATCCCCAGACCTTCTCAATCTACTCTCTTTACAAGTTGCCACATTTGTGCAGCATTAACTCATCTAGTATAGGAGAGGTGTGGTGGCAAATGCCTTTAATCTAGGCATTGGGAGGCAGAGGCAGGCAGGTTTTCATGAGTTTGAAGCCAGCCTGGTCTACATAGTGAGTTCCAGGCCACTCTAGGCTATGTAATGAGACCCTGACTCAAAAAGAAAAAACAAAACAAAACCCCAAAAACAAAAAGATGCAAACAAACAAATCTTTTTAAAATTTGTTTATTTTTTTATTTTTTTACTTATTTTTTAAATTACACTCATGATATTCATTAATTACACTCATGAAATTAATCACATTTGTGGTATTCATAGATTACATTCGAAATATTCATTCAATTTTATATATATATATATATATATATTTTAATTTTAAATGCTGAATGTCATTTATTGAAGGAGGGAGGAGGTCTTAAATACAGGCTTACAGCACAATGGGAGGACCCCTGAGGGCAGAAATTCGCTACTGATGTTTTACAATCTTGCATCTAAGCTGTTAACGCCCATTATGCAGGATACACAGACAAGGAACTTCCCTTAAGCATTCAGGAGGGTGAAACCTGGCAGGGGATTAGCATAGATGCAAACAAACAAACAAATCTTTAAAAAAATATTTGAACTTAAATGTACGCATGTCTACTAAAACCCTTAAAAGAATACTTCCTCTTCCAAATTCACTCAATTCACTAAAATGCCTTCCCCATGTTCATCCTCAAATTTATGACCTCATGTTTATGTTTGGAACAGGAAGTATAGATAAACACAGCCTGATGAGTCCATTTCAAGTTGTTCATATGTATGTATGTGTTTAGGGCTGACTGCTTGGGGTTGAATAACCTATCAGGAAGCACATCCCTGGAGAAGACTGGTTCTCTCTCTCAACCACCGTTAATGACCTGTAGCTCTTCGTTTAGGGCCAGGGCCCTGTGAGATTTCCCCAGGCACATCTGGCATGTCAGAAGGTGTGGTCATCATGCAAGTCTTGTGTAGGTGACCATATTTTTGAGATTTCACGGGCACAGCTTCCCTGTCATATACAGAAGACACCCCGGTCCTCTGGCTTTTACAGTCTTTCCTCCCACTCTTCTGCAATGTTCCTTGAGCCCCAGACATAGGGGTTGGGTTGTGGACACGTCAGCTGAGCTTGCATTTGACTAGCTGTGGACTTCTGGGATGGTCTCCATCTGCTGCCAGAGGAAGCTTCCTTGATGAGGGCTGAGAGCCGCACCCACTTTTGGGTATTAAGATAAGTAGAATGCATGTCATTTTTGCTTTTTAACCAGGCCTTGTCCAAAACGTTCTTTGGGTTCCCATGGTCAACAAGGGTTCTGGTTCGTCCGGATAAGAGACCCTTGGGTCCTCTGTGTCGAGCATGTAGGAACATGTGTGAACTCTGTCGGTTTTAAATCTTTTTCTGGTGAGACTCCACCCCCTGCCCCCAAACCTTTCCTCATAGCTGCGCTCCCCTCACTGGGTCCTTTCCCATATGGGTTCCTCTAAAGCCAAGCCACGCAAGCAGGCTGCAGTGCGGGTATAGTCATTAGCAACATTTTGGTGAAATCAACCCCTCCTGTCCTAGCTTAGGAATCCTTGAACCTGTTGTAACAGAAGGGAAATTTGTCTCTCGCTCAAAGAAGCCACTACCTCCCTAACTACAAATGAAGGACTTCATTAGCCCTCTGCACCACACTTCTCAAAAAGCTGCCAAACATCTTTGGTGTTTTCCCATCTACTGCTTAGCTCCTGCTCACACTCCAGAAAACCACAAAAATCACGGTTTGACTGAGAACAGGGTGAGAGGAAAGCCACCGGGGAGAGACTTCATGGGAGCACACACAAGACAGTGAGATGTGGCTTCCAATGCTTGCTTTGTTATGCCCACGTCACAAGCCCCCCAGAGACCACCAGGAGTCCGAGTTCATATGCAAAAGCAAAGAGCCTTTATTGCAAGTGTGAGCTTGGGCTCTCTGTCCGTTCCAACACAGTGGTTGGATCAGGGAGAACACTGAGCTCAGTGGAGGCAGGGTTTTTAAGGAGTAAAGGATGGGGGAGTAGGGGAATTCCGAATTCAGATGGGCGTTGAACTCCTGACTGGGCAGGAGTGAGGTAACAGAAGTCTTGTCAAACAGGGATTGGTACTGGCATTGCTACAAGGAAATTAGCAACAATGTTAATAATAAAGGAAATGATATACAAGTGATGTGAGCTCTCCTTAATGTTCTGGAGCATCTAGTACTTGTTTGTCTCAATTCTGATTGGTCCCCTGCAGGGTACAGATTGTGGCTTTTCCTGGTTACTGCAAAGGTGAGGCCTAGTCCCCAGTATTGTTAGTCTGCAGCCTGTCACGGCTGCACTAATGTTAAATCGGGCCTCTTTAGCTTCATCTAGGCAAATTCTCTCTAGGTGGCAGAGCCTGCCCCTTCTCCCATTTGTATCTTCTCTTGAGGGTCATCAAAGTCTCATTCTGTAGGGGCAAGAGGGATAATAAGGCCAGCATACTTCACAGTTCCAGTTAGCATGTGGCAGAGCCACACAATGTCGTCATGCTGACAGAGAGCTCTGAAACCTGGGCAGCGTGGCATCGGTGTATGCTGTAAATCTGACCTTTTCTCTTTCATTGAGCACACCAGGTATGTCCATCTGAAGCAAGGGATTGCATTCAGGTCCGCAGACAGCGATCTCAGCCTTGCTCCATACCATGTGGACACCACCACTGCAGGGTTGACACAGAGACATGGGGCCAGGATACTCTCTCTCCCAGCAATCCAGCCAGTGAACTTGCCTGCCTGCCTGCCTGCCTTCCCTCCCTCCCACCCTCCTTCCTTCCTTTTCCCTTCTTTTCTTCCTTCCTTTTTACAAGATGGGGTGTTTGTGTAGTCAAAAGTTTCTCCGGTCCCACCCGGTCCTGCAGTCCCACAGCCACTTATAAAATAATCACTCAGAGACTTAATATGATTTACAAACTGTATGGTCTATGGCAGGCCTCTTGCTAGCTAGCTCTTATATCTTAAATTAACCCATCTCTACTAATCTGTGTTATGCTACGTGTTCCGTGGCTTTACCTGTCTGATGGCATGTTCTTCCTTGGGTGGCAGGCTGGTGTCTCCCCCACGTCTCTTTTCTTCTTCCTGTCCCTCTTGAATTTCCTGCCTGCCTCAAAGCTGCCTTGCCATAGGCCAAAGCAGCTTATGTATTAACCAGTGAAAACAACATATATTCACACTGCACAGAAAGACATCTCCCAGCATGTTTGTGTGTGTATCTTGCCCAGACTGGTCTCAAAGGGACTCCTCCTGCCTCAGCCTCCTGAGCACAGGATTACAGGGATACACCATCATTCCTAGAAGAATTTGGCCTTCAGAACAGCTAACCTTCTCCTTTCAGTAGTGTACCTTTTCATCTGTTGGGAAGATATACATAGTTCAGTAAAGAAAACTACCTGTTTTAGAGTAAGATAATAGAAACAAACTGAAAACTTAAGCTGTAACCATTTCTAAAGCAACTCACTTCTCCCAGTGTGGAAAACAGCCCAGTAGCATATACATAAGCTTTCTGCCTGCTTCCTAGGCCTGGGAATCAGTGCTGGAGAATACTGTCATGATCTGAATTCCTATGTCCCTGATTTCTTTTCTCTTCTGTGATTTGCAGGGCTCAGTATTACTACAGCTGTGGAAGACAGTCTGTAATTTGGGAGATCCCTCCTCCTGCGCTGTTTACCCGGCCTTCTAAACGGATCCAGAGGCTGGCAATACCCAACAGATTCAAAACACAGTGTCTGCTGGATAGGTAGAGTATCTTAAACTCCCCAGAGATCCTGATCTAGCTCGCTTAAGTGTCACAACATTGTAGCTCCAGCTTTCGTCTGAGTGAAAAGGCTGTTTATGTCCAAACACAGTGGATAAAACTGTCGACTATCTGCAGCCCATGCGGGGGGGGGGGGGGGGGGGGGGGGG